CTGTGGGCTGCCTCCCTCGGGGACCTCTGGTGGCAGAAACGGGGCGGAACTGTTGATAGTTGCTTCGGGTTTCTCGCGGCCCAGGTTCGAATCCCCCTTTTCCTCCCCGCACAGCCCCACGGCGGCTTCCTCCTCCTCCATCCCCTCCACCGCACACAGCCTGGGACGGCACCGCCACCTTTGCCTTTCCTCCTCGGAATGTCCTCCTCCCGGCATTTCTCTTTCCTCCCCTCCGAGGCTGAGGGGCGTCTGGCCTCTGCCCAGCTCACCCCTAGGCCGAAGGCCCAGGAGGGGCCGACGTGCCAAAGAAAGGTGGCACAAAGGAAAAGCAGAGCTGGGAGCACAGGTGGAAACCTGCAGCTCGTAGAGGAGGCCCTCAGTGACATGGTTCAGTGGGGGACTTGGCAGTCCTGGGGTAACGGTTGGGCTTGAGGATCTTCAAGGCCTTCTCCAACCAAGTTGATTATACGATCCTAAATCTCCCCTGTAGCTCAGGTAGTCAGGGACTTGTGGCTTGAAGCTAAACTATTCTTCACCCCACCTCTTCCAAATCTCCACACGCTCATGGTGGACTGACTGTTCCGTGGCATAAAAATCCGGTAACTATTGCACGCACAGGTGCTGAGGACACAGGTAAGTATCTACAGTATTATTCCTCTACAATCTGGATAGCCTGTGACCCAGCACGCCACAGATACAAACTGGAGCCAAATCCTTTCAGAGCACAAGTCATCTATTTCAGACTTTTACTAAAGGGGAAATTCCATTTCCGTACTCTGGAAAATACATAAACTTTCAGTCCGCATTCCCCTCCCGCACATTTAGGTAGAAACTAGTAGCCCAATGTATGGGTCTTTCAAGCTCAGTTTTGAGAAACTTGGACAAAATTTTCACAAACACAGTGAAATTAGCTACTTACCTTCTACAGTCAGACTGACGTCTCGTGAAACGTTATACTGTTTTCCATTGTACGTATATGTTGTTTCGCATGTATAGTTTCCTTGATCGTGTACAGTCACATTGAAAATGATAAGATCGCTCTTTAAGAAGGCAAACCTTTCCCCTTCCAGCAGTTGGCAGTCCTGAACATGTGTACAAAACTCTGTTAATTCATATCACTATGTCTTTCTATGTTTTGTCTCTCTTTAATGCAAGCAGAACTTTCGATGAACCACCCCATAAGGATGGATGCCTCGCAGAGGCTGATGACGATCAAGGGCAGTGGAATAAAAAGAAAAACATACTTCCTTTTGGATCTGAGTTTCTAACTCAGAGCTACTCCAAGTACATTTCCCATACAATACAACTTGTAATATTAGAGAAATAAGAAAGCAAACTGCAAGCATCAGGATTTTTGGAAGTATTTACTAACAAAGAATCACTTAATAATTACACTTAATTTTTTAAATGAGGCAGCAGTGCTGCAGAAGGCACTACTTTCTTATAATATAAAGAGCCTTTAAATAAGGGTGTACAATATGAAATGTCATTTACCTAATGGAAGAATATTGAGCACATAAAGGATATACCACCTCTTACACATGACATTCTAAATCTGTTTACACACAAATAAATTCATGGCAGTGCCTTTTGACAGCAGGTCAAAAGATGCCACCTGGTGGATACGTGGTCAACGTCTCTCCCACATCAAAGCTGAATTTCTACCCTGTTAATCAAAAAACCTGTATACTCCTTGAAAAGATAAGAAGTCTTAAACCTCTTCCAATTTGTTTTCAAAGCAGTTTTCTCTATTTACAGTAAATCTTTTGCTTTCCTCCTACAATTCACAAACATCAGCGATTTCTACTTTAAACAATGGACAGTCACAAGACAACACAAGCCACAGCATTCTCACCTTGTACCAACGAACAGGCTGAAAATTCTTCTCGTTCCTGAAATGATCCAAGTGTGGGCACACCACCTTTGCAGATGATAACGTAAATATCAACTCCCCTACAGCAAATTTTTCATTTAAGCACAAACCATCAGTCCTCTCAAAAACCGTTACTTTTGTACACATTCTCCAGCAGCTCGTCAAGTTCCTGCAATTGATATAACATAATTAGATTAACCTATTTGGCGCATTTTCCAACTCAAAAACATATGGTAGTCTTTTGGGAGAAGAAAGAGAGGATGAGAAGTTGAGATTCTCTAAGAGACTTACTTTTTTGCCTGCTAGGAAAAAGAAACCAAAATGAGACTTCCTTTCCCCAACCTAAAGTTAGTTTTTGTGAACACGGTCTCCTTTCTCAATCGGTATTTCTCTTAACCCAAAAATTCTACTTTCTTTATAAAAGATATTCCCTCTGCAACTCACTTCTGTAACAATGTATTTCTTTCTTTAAACGTTCACCTTATGACACATTCATATTCTCCAGAATCTTCTAACATTGCAGGAAGGAACCAAATGAAATTCTTCTGCTGGTGAATTCTAGAAAGTTTGTCTCCGGGTACAGCTGTCTGGTTACCAACTTTATACCATGTTAAGTTGTAGTCTTCACTTCTCAAGCTCTTTTCCAGTGAACATTTAATAGCAAGAGGCTGCCCATTAAGCACAAGACTTTCCCTCAACATCACATCATAGGCTTCACACTTCTCTAAAGGGAAGAAACAAAGATTAAAGAAAACCTCAAACACTGTAAAAGGATATACTGAACTCCTTTCTTGATTACATTTACAACGTACCCATTCTAAAGCCATCTACTAAAAACATAATTATCATCCTTTACCTTTACAATTTAAAGTACACGTCAGTGATACACAGATATAGTTATGCCACTGAAATGAAAGCTTTTTTAACACAAACTTGACACTGTGTAGGATCTTGTTTGCAGCAGACTCTTATTTGTATGTTTTAGTTCAGATGAAAGTTACTGAAGGACCTATATTTCTCCGGCCTCTTTCATGCCCATGTACGCACAGACATACACACACACACACATGCAGGCACAAATTTCACATTCAAGGTCTTGGTTAATTTCACATAACTGTAGTCAAAGTAAGCCTTCAAGACAGAGGATGCTTTCAGTACCCAAATGTCCTAAAGGAACACTAAAGTTAAAGTTGCTGTTGTGCAAATACTAAGTTTGCTATGGAAATTTAAACTAACCCTTCAATTTAGGAGCATCTACAGAGGAATGATTACATGTACTTATCAATGACCTCATTTCCTTTCCTTCTAACACAAGGAGATCCATAAGGGAGTATGACAAAAGAAGGCATCAACTCCAGGTACCATGGATACATTTCTGAGTCAGTAATGTATTTATCTACAATTTCTGGTTTGATTATAGTGTCTTAACAGCTACACAGAGTCATGTCAGTGTCTGTCTAGCCCAAAACCCTGTCTCCGATAATGACCCGTAGCAAACGCCTAAGGAAAAAAGAGTAGGACACAACAAGCAGAGGAGTTATTTGCTTTCAGTCACTTTCTTTACTCTTCTATTGTGCATGAAAAACCATTCACTGCTTTTCATTATTTCTCTGGGTATCGTGCATTTCTGTTTATGAGAACTGGCAAAGTAAACTTCCCCCCTCCTGCCTAGTTACTGGTCTCTGCTGCTGGATGGAGGACAACCAATAATCACCTTTCCGTACGATTACTCCACAACAAACAGGCTACCCAGTGCACTGGTGAACCATGCAACTTGTTCCTCCATGGACAAAAAAACCCAAACCAAACCCAAATCATTTCCAAACCAATGGCTTGCTAGAAACTCAAGGAATAGCAAGTACTGAAGTTTTAACAGGCTGGCACTGCTGCAAGATTCCAGGTGGAATCACAAGATTATGACAGCAGCTCCTCTGAACCATCTGAATTGTCTAAATAACATGAACCGGATTGTTGGTCGGCAGCCGAAGGGGAGAAACAAGCAGTTGCAACTAAGTAGCTGAGCAATTTTACAAAAGTCTAGATGTTACATTATTGTCAAATAGTTACATTTTCCAGTATGAAGAAAAATCCTAAGCACACATTCTGTAAAGTTAAACTACATCTCATTTCATCAGCTTATATACCAAACAGTCATGCTGCCATTCAGACAGACCTGACTGGCTGGAGAATTGGGCTGACAGAAACCTTATTAAGTTCAAAACCATAAGTCCTGCATCTGGTGAGGAATGACCCTAGGCACCGCTAGCACATGCTAGAGACCATTCAGCTGGAAAGCAGATCTGCAGAGAACAACACTGGGGTCCTGATGGACACCAAACTGAACAGGAGCCACCAATGCTCCCTTCATGGCAGAAAAAGGCTAACAGTGTCCTGGACTGCATTAGAACCTGCCAGCAGGTCAAGGAAGGTGATGCTTCCCTTCTACTCAGCACCGGTGAGGCCACTGATGAGTACAAGAGACGAGGATTTACTGGAGAAAGTCCGACACAGGGCCACAGAGATGATTAAGGGAGTGGAGCATCTCTCAGGAGGAGAGAGAGGTTGAAAGAGCAGGGTCACTGTTCAGCTCACAGAAGAGAAGGCTTAGGGCACATGCAGGTGGATCTTATCAATGTGTGTAACTACCTGATGGGAGTGAATGAAAAACAAAGACCAGGCACAAAATGAAACAGAAAAATTCCATCCTGCTTTTAGGACCTTTGGAAAGAACTCATTGCCATGCACATCAATTGACTTTTACAGCCATTGTCACAGAAAATTACTCTTACTCGTGTGAACTAATTCAGAACAAGACCTTCCATAGCCACCAATAAACTTACCTGCAATAATTAAAAACAGAAATGCTGTTCTGATATTACACAAACCCAATGTTTTTGCTGTCATATTTCCCTGCAGAAATGGAAAAACCCTTCGGTTAGTGGTTTCTGCAATTTAAAGTCAATGTTTACAGTACACAGTTAATACAGGACACAGGGAACATAATAATTGTCTTTGGCTTGTTTTGAGCCTGTTACCTGCTTGTTTAACCTGACAGCTCTTAATTATTAAAAGAAAAAAAAAACAACAAAACAACAAAACAACCAAAACATGAGTGAACATTTCCTATTCAACTTGTCAAGTAATCTGGATTCTTCAAATTTCTAGCACACTCCTCCTGAGCTCTTGCTTTCCCAAGCTACAGTTTTACTCTCTCTGTCCCTTAGATGGAATCGAATTTCCTATTTCTGCCCACCTTTGCCACTCTCTTCTCTACTGTCCCCAGTTATGCTTACTATTTCTATTATTTATAACATACATATATTAATGAAGGCAGTCTGCCTTAATTAACAGCCTCTGCTGAATGCCTTTTGCAAATTAAGGCAGATTGTATCAGCCATGTCTCCTGTATCCAGTAGGTTAACGTACATGTGTACAACTCTAACACGCTTCTAGTATTTGAGAGTCACGACATCCCTTTACAAAAGTCACTGTTGACTCCTTCCCCTGCATAATTTACCTTAATTTCCACTGGTTCCATTACTAAAAGCAATGCCTACCTAGCTGCCTGCTGTAGATACCAGGCTCACTGATCTCTATGTTCCTGGCTCTCTTTTGATCTCTTGGAGAAGATAAAGAACCCATTGATCACTTTCTGATCAGTTGGTCCCAAAGCCGCTTTAAAGGAGACATTTACAGTAAAAGAACACAAGAGTATCAGCCAGTCATGGGGCTTTATTGTGGATCATTTGATTCTGTAACTGCCAGTACTGACTCTTCAATGTGAGACAGATCCTTCCATGGAAGATAAGCCAGAAAAAAAGATACCAAAATCCACGCTCTACAAACACAAAAAATTTTATTTCTTTGTTTTCCCTTACTATGTTCATATCTTCGCATAGCCTATCCCAAAGCGGGGGTTTATGCCCAAATTGCCTGCTGTCCCTCCAGACTCTTTTTGGAGAAGGATCTATTAGTTGCCTGCCTCTGACAAGTTGTTCCTTAACTTGGCCTGCCTTACTGCTTTTTTTTTTCCTATTTAGCCTACCAATCTTAACAGTAGTGTGAAAGGACAAATGCAATTACTCAAACTGAAGGATAAGTAGGAGAACCCTATCCTGTTGTGAAGAATCTTCAGCCGATCACCAATTTCTGCAACAGGCAGAGATGACACATCCATCTGCTGTGTCTTACTTCACCAAACTGACTCAGAAGTGTGCCATATATTGAGTCATCCATGCTGCTTCTTGCAGTGCCTGCTTTCTTTCTTCTTCCCCTTCTCTCCCCTCCTCCCTCTGCAAACTTCTTTCACATTACCAGGCAGGTCTTCTCTTGCCTAGCTGCAAGAAGGTATGAGTCCCTGCAAGAATGCTAAGCATAGGAAGGAATACATAAAACTTTAAATTCACTGGAGGGGGGCTATGGGTGTTTGTACAAAAGCTCCAACCTTCTTCACTAACTGTGACAGACAATAACCTTAAAACCTCTGATTTTAAATCTTAAAATAGATTAAAACATTATGATAGAAATAATTTAAAGTGGAAACAGGACTGAACAAACTCCACTGATGACCAGGCATTTTCTTTACGACTTCTCCAAATCACTGATTTTTCATCAGTGCTGTTCCATTACAGCATTACTCTACTCTAGTGTTCCGACTCACACACGCTCTCTCAAGCAGGTTTTTTGACCCAGCAGTAGATTCAGGACATGCAGCAGTAGCTATTTTGCCATGTTCTGAAGGAAAGTCTTCCAGAAACCTGCTTCTCTATAAATTCAATGGACTTTCTATCCATTTAAGTTTAGAACTTGCCCTTTTGCCAGCATGGAAGACCTGCAAACATATAAAGCCCTGTGTAAAACCACACACATGAACTGATCCCGAAGGAGGAGATTCCTTCTTGTCTGCCTTCATGGAGAAAAAGTTTCCAGTTCTGCAGAAGGTATACCCAGCGGCAAAATTGGGCTCTGCTCTTTGCATGCATTCACATAATTAATGATGAAAATAACAAATATCAACTGCAAATGTTTTTCCTACCATATTCTGCTGTGATAAACAAGTGCATTTCTCCCTTTTCCAAGCTATTTCCACATCTTGAGCCTGCAATCAACCTGTAGAGCTTTACTACTCAGGACAGAACTCCGCTGGAGTTATCTTTGCCCAGGTTTTCCAGAAGGGGAAAAGTTCCATGTATCTGAGGCCACGTTCATAAAGCTTCACCCTGAAAGGAAATATCTTTATCAATTTAAGATTTTATTTTAAGAAAAGATAAAATAAAAAAAAGCCAAGCGCCTAGAAGAGGTCTTCAAGGATACGTGCACCTGAATTACAATCACAGCATCCTTGGCAGCACACAGTAAAGCGTAACTCTTATCAAAATCTGTCATTAAATTAGTACAGCCACCTTTTTCTCTGCTCTCTAGTGCTTTTGAAGTTGACCTGTGCAATTAAAACAAAATCAGGAATCTCATCAGAACTTCGAAGAATCAAGCCTTTCCCTAATATTTACATACTTGTGGTAAAAAACACACAACAGTCCTCTTCTCAGAATCGAAAGAACTGAAAGAAAGATTATCACACTATTTCTTTTATATAAGCCCATGAACATTTCAAACCATAATATATATATACATATTCATCTTACCTTAATGCTTCCATTAGCTGCAAGGTATGCTGTGCCTCTTCAAGAGAGCATAATCAAGT